CACTCCTCTCTCACCAATGGACAGGTCAATCAGACAGAAACCTAACAGAGAACTAAGAGAATTAATGGAGGTAATGAATCAATTGGACTTGACAGACATCTATAGAATATTCCACCCAAATCGGAAAGAATATACCTTCTTCTCTGCAGCTCATGGAACCTTCTCGAAAATTGACCACATACTCGGTAACAAAGCAAACTTCCACAGGTACAAAAACATATTAGTAACCACCTGTATCTTATCAGATCACCATGGATTAAAGTTAGAATTCAACAACAACCCTACCCCCAGAAAGCCTACAAACTCATGGAAACTGAACAGTCAACTACTGAACCACACCTGGATCAAGGAAGAAATAAAGAAAGAAATTAAAGTCTTCCTTGAATTCAATGAAAATAAAGAAACAACCTACTCAAACTTATGGGACACTATGAAAGCAGTCCTGAGAGGAAAGTTCATAGCACTAAGTGCCCACTTAAAGAAAACAGAGAAGGCACACATTGGAGACTTAACAGCCCACCTGAAAGCTCTAGAAAAAAAAGAAGCAGACTCACCTAGGAGGAGTAGAAGACTGGAAATAATCAAACTGAGGGCTGAAATCAACAAAATAGAAACACAGAAAACAATCCAAAGAATCAATGAAACAAAAAGCTGGTTCCTGGAGAAAATCAACAAGATTGATAAACCTCTATCCAAACTAATAAAACGCCAGAGAGTGAATATGCAAATTAATAAGATCAGAAATGAAAAGGGGGACATAACCACAGACACAGAGGAAATTCAAAGAATCATTAGATCTTACTACAAAGGCCTGTATGGCACAAAACTGGAAAATGTAAAAGAAATGGACACGTTTTTAGATAAATACCATATACCAAAGTTAAACCAGGACCAGGTGAACAACCTAAATAGACCTGTTAGTCACGAAGAACTAGAAGCTGTTATCAAAAACCTCCCTACCAAAAAAAGCCCAGGACCTGATGGTTTCAATGCGAAATTCTACCAGAACTTCCAAGAAGACCTAATACCTATACTCCTTAATGTATTTCACAATATAGAAGCAGAAGAGTCATTGCCAAATTCCTTTTATGAAGCTACAGTCACTCTGATACCAAAACCACACAAAGACTCAACCAAGAAAGAGAATTACAGGCCAATCTCACTCATGAACATCGACGCAAAAATCCTCAACAAAATACTGGCAAACCGAATCCAAGAACACATTAGAAAAATTATCCATTATGATCAAGTAGGCTTCATCCCAGAGATGCAGGGCTGGTTCAACATACGAAAATCTATCAATGTAATCCATCATATAAATAAGCTGAAAGAAAAAAACCATATGATCATTTCATTAGATGCTGAAAAAGTATTTGACAAAATTCAACATCCCTTTATGATAAAAGTCTTGGAGAGACTAGGGATACAAGGGTCATACCTAAATATAATAAAAGCTATATACAGCAAGCCGACAGCTAACATCAAATTAAACGGAGAGAAACTCAAAGCCATCCCACTAAACTCAGGAACACTAAACTCAGAAACCCACTCTCGCCATACCTCTTCAACATAGTGCTTGAAGTTCTAGCAATAGCAATAAGACAACATAAGGGGATCAAGGGGATTTGACTTGGAAAGGAAGAAGTTAAACTTTCGTTATTTGCAGATGATATGATAGTGTACATAAGTGACCCTCAAAACTCCACCAAGAAACTTTTACAGCTGATAAATACCTTTAGTAATGTGGCAGGATACAAGATCAACTCCAAAAAATCAGTCGCCCTCTTATACACAAAGGATATGGAAGCAGAGAGGGAAATCAGAGAAGCTTCACCTTTCACAATAGCCACAAACAGCATAAAATATCTCGGGGTAACTCTAACCAAGGAAGTAAAAGATCTATTTGACAAGAACTTTAAAGCATTGAAGAAAGAAATTGATGAGGATATCAGAAAATGGAAGGACCTCCCTTGCTCTTGGATTGGGAGGATCAACATAGTAAAAATGGCAATTCTACCAAAGGCAATTTATAGATTCAATGCAATTCCTATCAAGGTCCCATCAAAATTCTTCACGGATCTTGAGAGGACAATAATCAATTTTATATGGAAAAATAAAAAACCCAGGATAGCCAAAACAATCCTATACAATAAAGGATCTTCTGGAGGCATTACCATCCCTGACTTCAAACTCTATCACAGAGCTACAGTAATGAAAACAGTGTGGTATTGGCATAAAAACAGAGAAGTCGACCAATGGAATCGCATAGAAGACCCGGAATTTAATCCCCAAACCTATGAACACCTCATTTTCGACAAAGGAGCTAAAAGTATACAATGGAAGAAAGAAAGCATCTTCAACAAATGGTGCTGGCACAACTGGATGTCAACCTGTAGAAGATTGAAATTAGACCCATATCTATCACCTTGCACAAAACTCAAGTCCAAATGGATCAAAGACCTCAATATCAGTCCGAACACACTGAACCTGATAGAAGAGAAAGTGGGAAGTACCCTACAACAGATGGGCACAGGAGATCGCTTCTTAAGTATAACCCCAGCAGCACAGACACTAAGGACAACATTGAATAAATGGGACCTACTAAAGCTGAGAAGCTTCTGTAAAGCAAAGGACACTGTCACTAAGACAAAAAGGCAACCTACTGACTGGGAGAAGATCTTCACCAACCCCGCAACAGACAAAGGTCTGATCTCCAAAATATATAGAGAACTCAAGAAACTAGACTCTAAAATGCTAATTAACCCAATTAAAAAATGGGGCACTGAACTGAACAGAGAATTCTCAAAAGAAGAAGTTCAAATGGCCAAAAGACACCTAAGGTCATGCTCAACCTCATTAGCAATCAGGGAAATGCAAATCAAAACAACTTTGAGATATCATCTCACACCTGTCAGAATGGCTAAAATCAAAAGCACCGATGATAGCCTTTGCTGGAGAGGCTGTGGAGGAAGGGGTACCCTCATCCATTGCTGGTGGGAATGCAATCTTGTGCAACCACTTTGGAAATCAGTGTTTCGGTTTCTCAGGAAATTCGGGATCAACCTACCCCTGGACCCAGCAATACCACTCTTGGGAATATACCCAAGAGATGCCCTATCATATGACAAAAGCATTTGTTCAACTATGTTCATAGCAGCATTATTTGTAATAGCCAGAACCTGGAAACAACCTAGATGCCCTTCAATGGAAGAATGGATGAAGAAAGTGTGGAATATATACACATTAGAGTATTATGCTGCAGTAAAAAACAATGACTTCTCGAATTTTGCATGCAAATGGATGGAAATAGAAAACACTATCCTGAGCGAGGTAACCCAGACCCAAAAAGATGAACATGGGATGTATTCACTCATAATTGGCTTCTAGCCATAAATAAAGGTCACGGAGTGTATACCTGGTGAACCTAACGAAGCTAAAGAAGAAGGTGAACCCAAGAAAAAACATATAGTTATCCTCTTGGCTAAGGGAAGTAGATAAAATTGCCGGGGACAAAATTGGGATCTTGGGGGTGGGGTGGGTTGGGGATAAGGGGGGACAGGGAGAGAAAAGTAAGAAGGGGAGGATTGGGGGAACTTGGGGAAACAGGAAGATTGGGATAAAGGAAGGTTGGATAGGGGAGCAGGGAAGCACATATCTTAGTTAAAAGAGCCACCTTAGTGTTGGCAAGAGACTTGAACCTAGAGTGGCTCCCAGGAGCCCAAGGCGATGTCCCCAGTTAGTCCCTTGGGAAGCTGAGGATAGGGAACCTGAACTGACCCTATCCTATAGCATTACTGACGAATATCTTTCATATCACCATAGAACCTTCATCTGGTGATGGATGGAGATAGAGACAGAGACCCACACTGGAGCACTGGACTGAGCTCCCAAGGTCCCAATGAGAAGCAGATGGAGGGAGAACACGAGCAAGGATGTCAGGACCACGGGGGGTGCACCCACCCACTGAGACAGTGGGGCGGATCTATTGGGAGCTCACCAAAGCCAGCTGGACTATGACTGGAACAGCATGGGATAAAACCGGACTCTCTGATCATGGCAAACAATGAGGACTGATGAGAAGCCAAGGTCAATGGCAAGGGGTTTTGATCCTACTTCATGTTCTGGCTTGGTGGGAGCCTAGCCAGTTTGGATGTTCACCTTCCTAGACATGGACGGAGGGGGGAGGACCTTGGACTTTCCACAGGACAGGGAACCATGACTGCTCTTTGGATAGGAGAGGGAGGGGGAGAGGAGTGGGGGGAGGGGGAGAAGAGAGGGGGGAGGGGGGGAAGAGTGGGGGAGGGGGAGGGAAATGGGAGGCTGGGAGGAGGCGGAAACTTTTTTTCTTATTCTCAATAAAATAAAAAAAAATCACAAAGCATTTATGGCAACTTCTGTATTTAAGTAAGTCAATGTATTTTTGAAGCTTTCACTAATACCTAGAAAGAAGATATATGGATACAAAGTTTCATGCCCAATGAGGACATAATGATTTACTTTGAATTTTTTTCTTATTTATATTATTTATAATATCTAACAAAAAACAACCCCAGGAAACAAGAGGGTACACGTAAGAATCTGGTCAGGATTAGATATTCAACTGAAGGATAAAAACAAGAAAAATTGTCTTTTATTTAACTCATTAGGTCCATTCTTTGCCTTTACCACAGTGCTCAAAGCAAGGATCTTTGTGTGAAATCACAGCTAGCTTGGCTGTCTTGGATGGAAAATGACTGCCCATTCAAGTATGGTATTTAGTTTTCATTGATCACTGTGCATATTCTCGACAGCATTAATCTTCAGAATATTTTAGAGAAAGGACCAGAGGGTGAAAATGCATCTCCCACTATATTACACACTACCATTGCAACCAATAAGCAAATTCACTGCTTAAATGACACAAAATGATTATTTATGTGCTTTTCCTTTCATGGTCACCTTTTAATTTATATGATATCCTTTGTTTAATGGAAAAGAATAAAAGACTGATATTATCTTACCAGACCCATGAACAGGCCAAACACCAAAGTAGCAATGACGAAAAAGACGTAAGAACACCATGCAGGAATTCCAAGAGTCACTGTGAAATAGTTGTGAAGGTGCTGTAATCAAAATGAAAACAAAACGCTTACTTGAAGTGCAGGATTTTCTAGCTGTAACTCCAGTCTACAAAATATCTCTCCACATATGTACCCAAAGTTTATATTTAATAATTACTAGTTAAGAAGTCAATGTTTGTAGCATTACAAACAGAATAATTATCAAAATCATATTCAGTAAGAATTATTCTTTAGAGCTCAAGATCTTGATAGAGGTCTGATCAAATTGCCTTGTCAATTCTTTCTCCCATTATAGAAATTTTTCTAATTATCTTTGCCAAATCATTACCTATTCCTCCATATTTAATCCCAACATGACATATTAAAACATGAAACCCTTGGGCCATTATCAATTTTTATGTAAAGCCAAGTTATGTCTTAAGAGTATGAACCATTTAAAATGTCTCCATATTTACTTTTCCTAATGTTAAACAATATGTGAATTACAGATATGAAATGTTCATTTCAAATTAAAGCCTATTTAGAGGTAGACTTGTTGGGCCTATACTTCTTCATGGTAAGTCATATTGTTTTAGACTACAAACTACAATCCAATCAATTATATCAAGAAATATAGGGTTTTATTTTTTTCACAATTAGGAAATTGTGGGCATCTAGTGAACAATCCAAGAAAGAGACTATGTGAGCTCTTGCTTCACAGTACTGGAGCCCAGATAATGTCAGCATGAGTTCCAGATGCAGGAACTAGAGTTGCAATGTGTGTTGGTTGTTCTGCTGAATTTGTCTCACTTCAATCAAACCTTTCCTTGCTATGCCACTATTTTACCACTTCCGGAATGTCTTGCCATATGCTAAGAATGTTCTTTTATTTTACAGCTCATGGTGAAGAGGCTGTCCTGAGTCTTAGAAGAGACTACATAATTCTGAACATCATTGAACTATAACTATGAGGGGTTGTACGCTTCTTGCCATATGGGCACCAGAGGCAGAGTATTATAACTTGGATAAGAAATGTCCCCCACAGGCACATGCATGAATGATTGGTACACACTTGACTGCACTGTTTTCAGTGGCTGTAGAACTTCAAGGGAAGAAGCACGGTTGGTGAAAGTAGGTTACAAAAGGGTGGTCTTCAAAGTTTGAGCCTGACCTCAGGTCTGACACTCCCTCCTCTAATATTTTTAATAATTCTTTGCAAATTTAATACAATATATTTTGAGCATATTCAACATCTCTCCCAAAACCCCTTTTAGCGCTACCCCTCACCTATCCACCTACCCAACCTGGTTTCTTTTACCATTTTTTCTTTAAAAACAAAAAATAAAATTTGTTACCCAAATAATTTTGGGTGTGGCACTTGCCTTGATATGTAGCCTGTCACCCTGTATGCTGGAATTTCGTCTGGCTGAAGCTTGCCCAAGTCCTATGCATGTAGTCACAGGACTGTCGGTTTATATGTGTAATTTCCTCATTATGTCTGGAATACACTGTTTTCTTATAGTCATATATCACTGTTAGCTCTCAAATCTTTTGGGCCCGTCATCCTCAATGATCCCAGAGAGGGGTATGTCAGAAATGTCCCGTTTAGGGCTGAGTACTCTGTAACCTTCTATTCTTTGCACATTGACTGTCAGTTGTGGGTCTTTGTGTTGTCATCCACTGCAAGGAGCTTATCTCCTAAGTGCTGAGAGATGTACTAATATTGGGTATGGCAATAAATCATTAGCAGTCATTTTAATACTGTGTCCATTTAGCAGAACAAAAGCAATAGGTTTTCTCTTAGGGCCAATGACTGCCTATCCACAGTTTCCTGGCCCCAGTAACACTTCTAAGTATGGGGTCCATCTGAAGGAGCAGGCCTTAAATCAAATCAGTAAGTGGTTGGTTACTCCCTTAACACTGGTGCCACTGTTCCACCAGAGGATATATATTACCAGGACAATCACTATCGTAGCTCACAAAGTATACAGCTGGGTAAGACTGATGATGAATTTTCTCCTCCAGAGGCATGTATATATCACCTTTCAGCATTATGACAGATGAGGCTTCTAGGTTTGTAGCCATTTGAATTCTCCATGCTTTGTGACTCAAGTCTGTGGTTTCTTCAGCAGTAGAATGCTATCATCAAGTTCTCAAGAGTAACCAAGAGCAATGGCAATAGCGTGTATGTTGCAGGCCTATGGGATCCCACTGGCTAACAACTCAAAAGGAGGTAACTGGGGTTTTTCTTTGTTCACAAATTTATTAGGGAATTACTGTATCCCTCTTCTAGGATAACTAACTCCATTTAAACTCATTTTTCATATGTATAAGCCTATATTTTAGGGCTGGTGAGATGGCTCAGTGGTTAAGAGCACTGACTGCTCCTCCAGGGGACCCAGGTTCAATTCTCAGTACCCACATGGCAGCTCTTCTGTCTGTAACTCCAGTTCCAGAGAATCTGACATTGGCATAAAATAAAGTTAAATAAAGTTAAAAAAAAAAAAGCACTCCCTATTTTTTTAAAAAAAGCATATATTTTAGAATGCTTCCATATTAGGTTTTCATAAGGTTTTTTTCTAAAGGTCTTTAATGTTAGTTATTCCTCTCCTGCAGTAGCTCCTACTATCTCCCAGCTTGTTATATCAGTCTCTCTCTTCCCCTCTACAATGGAAAGCCCCACAATCACAGCTAGAGTCTGAGATGCCAGCCTACCCTGCAGTGGAACTGTAAACTGAAGTAAATCCTTTCTTCCTGAAGTTGTTTTGGAAGATGGCTCCCAACTCTAAAGTTTTAAAAGGTATTATTCAGCTCTGGTTTTAGGTGAAAAATGTATATGGAACAGGTTATGCTTTGCTTGATGACTCATTGTCATTACTGGGTTTACGCCTTGAAATATGCCAAAGAGACAGAGAACACTAAAGGTCACTCAGTCTCTGGGCTGACTCATGGAAGTATTTTTGAACTTGCTTTATGAATACCTGCTGCTTTACTTTACTCATGAGGCTGGAATGAACAAACTGTGGATGAATAATGTGAGGTTGAAGCTCTTCTGCACAGCGTCATACACCTTTTCTCCAAAACAAATAAAACACTTAATTTCTAAGTGAGTTATTAAAGTACAAAAAAAGTTATTTGCCTCTGAGTCATTGCTTTCTGGTTTAAAATACTGTTTAGTAGTTGAAAGCATTATCTTATTTCAGTAAGTTTCACTTCAAGTTTCTTATATCAGCTTATCCTTCAAGGGATCTATTTGAAAAGAAATTCTACACTATGGTTTTCTTAGGTAATTAATTATTACTGAAGACTAATGACTAAATAATTATTACTAAGGACTAAAATTTTTTTACAATCACAGATATAAAATTCCATCTGCTTACTTTGAGTTCACAATGGCTTTAGAGACCTTTATGAATGACTGTAATTGTGGTACTATGAAGTTATAGATGTAGTCAATTATAAGAAATAAAGTTTAACTTTACATTTTTATGTTTCTGTCTCCTTAATCATGTTTCCTTAGGCCAAAATACTGATACTTGCTCAATGTTATCTGCGTTCATTACATAAAAGTATCCTACTCTATTTTACTGAAAGTATTTTAAAATATCAGCTGATTATCCTAAACTTTATATACTATTAAATACTTTGCCAGATGATTCAGTTAGAGCCAGTTTTTGCTACATATAGATTTGCATGAAGGGACTAAATGAAATGATCATTAAAGAAATAAGGTTATTTCTATAAGTGGTCAGATCAAGTCCTCCATGAACTCTAGACATCTGAACTGCTGCAGCCAGCACTACACGGTCTCAATCAAAGCTGCAGTAGCTCTAAAGGACAGACCATGTTTAGAGCTCACCTGTATCAGAGGAGGTATACTCTTTAGGAGTTCAGGAACAAGCCCATAATCCCTTTCACAAACATTCCAGAATCCCCTTAATATCTCTGTTGCATGGGAGCAGTCAGCAAGGCTTCTTCAGTGGTAGTCAAGGCTCCTTGTCCCCTTTTTTAGTCTGTCTCTGAATATCTACAAGACTTAATCTAACAGGCTCCTCTAGGCTTCAAAAAAGGGACCTGTGCCTTGTGGTTGTACTTCATCTCACTATAACTCGCTATGAACATTTCTGAATACATAAGAAAAGATGAGAGATGTCCCAATCTAGATCACAAGAGATCATATACACAAATAGCACACACACACACACACACACACAAACTGCTACAGAATTTTATTTTAAGTCTTCTATTATTAGCATTAGTTCAAAAATAAATAGTAAGTTTAAAATATTGTGTTATTTAAACCAGGAAGCAAGCAATTCAAACACAATACAAGATCAATCTATTGTATTAAGCTCCTACAGAGAAGTGACAGAAATAGACATATTAAAAACTAATAAATAATTAAACATTTGGTCTAAGTAAGTGTTCTAACACTGAAGTGACTATGTGTCACTCTACAAAAACACACAACAGGGAGTGGGCACAACCCCTGGTTTCTGTGACAGCCACACAACTCTATCACTGCAGTGCAACCTAATCAAAAAACAGCAGACACTATAAGCATGGCTGCTCAAAGAACGCTTTGTTTACAAAACCAAGCTTCTCTCAGACCATACTATGCTGTTCCAGACACACAGAATGACTTTCATGCCTGCCTAGACAATCTTTAATCTATAAAGAGATTTTCCAAGGGAACAATGAGATAACATAAAACCACATCTCATAATCTTTTTTCTTTTTATAAGGACTTAATCACCAATCTAATAAAATTATGACTCTGACATGGCTGCTATGGTAACCACTTCAAATTATGCCTTCCTATAAACACATTTTATTATGATGAACCAAAAACGAGAGTAGTTTTATGGCTTAAAAATAGAATTATAAAAAGTACTTATAAATTTTCATTTTTCCTATATTTAAAAGCTATTTTTTACATTATTTTAAAAAATCTATCTTCAAATATAATATAGTTTAAAAGTACTCACCCAAATCTTGCCAGAGATGCTGAAAAGACCAGCCATTCCAGACATCCTAAGAAAGAGAAGAACTCTGGTCACAGACAGTCAAAACCAAGCAAAGTTCAGGCCAAGCAATATACCTTCACTGAGCCTGTACTCATCAAAACTTCAATTCTCAAAAAGGTTAGATTTCATGGTCATTTTCTGAACTATTCTGCTGTAAACTGCAAACACATTCCAAATCCTTGGCCCCTTATCACTTTACAGTACAAAAATCCACAATCATGAACAAATTATATCTGTAAAAAGACAACATATCCTGGTGACTTTGAAAACTGAACACTCAACACTGTCCAGATGGAAATGCTATAATTGCTCATCTGCTTTTTCCTTCCTTCCAATCCCACACATCCTCCCTCAACAAGCACTGATAGCTAACAAGCACTCCTTGCACATCACAGTGAAATCAGAAGCCATTGTGTGATCACTCTCATCTTCCTACCACCAAATTTGAGACTGATGCATTCCATATCACTTTTGTATCAACAGCCAACTCTACCTGACCTAACACAGGCCAATTTTTCAATCTGTGACTTGGATCTTAATCCTGTGTCCTGTTGATGGCATGATTCTTTCTGCCATCCCTTCTTCCTGCATTAGCAATCACTCTACCTCTACCCAACCAGTCTCTTTAGCATGATGTCACGTCCATCTTCTGAACTGAGCAACCCTATCCCTCACATGACCCTCAAGCTTCAGAAAAAAATTCTGTAAAGAGCAGTCCTCTCTTATAATTTCTTTAGTAGTATGTCTTGAAACCATTTAAATCTGGCTAACCACCATTTGAAAAGGTCATAACAATGTCATCCTGCTGCATTCTATGTCCCAGTCAGAGACCATCTTTCTTTGCCTCCTGGCATCATGGGACATAAATAACTATTATTTCTTTCTTTGGCATCTTTTATTTGGTTTCTAAAAAATGTTTTATCCTTGATTTTCCTTCTGCCTCACTGGCACTAATTTTTCATTTTCCTTTTTTTAATTTTAATTACATGCATTTATTGTGTGTTGTGTAAATACACAGGTGGGCTACATGTAGTAGTCATAGGCAAACTTGCTGGAGTTGATGTTCCCCTTCCACTACGGGGGACCCAGAGATCAAACTCAGGTCATCAAACTTTGGGGCCATGTATCTCCTGTGTTATTTCATGGGTCCTCAATTTTTCTTTTGATGACTTGCTTAGTACTTAATTTGTTAACTTCGAGTGAGTCCTAGATTTATGACAAACACACTTCTATTTTACTTCCTAAGTAAAATTCTAAGGTTTTAAAGTCTGTCAAAGGCCTCTACAATTGTGTTCATTAATTCTTCACAGGGAACTATTACATAAACTCAGCTTACTAGCTTTACAAAGTCTAGACCTCTAGCAAGGCTAACAATCTTTTTCTTCTTCCTTTTGAATATTTTTATTAATTCTTTGAGAATTTCACACAATATTTTGATCATATTCACCCACAACTCTTACTAGATACATTCCCACCTCCCTACTGCCCCTTGCTTCAGGTCTTTTTTTTTTTTTCATGACCCATCTACTACAATTTGTGCCAGTCATACACTGCTGGGTGTGGGGCCATCCACTGGAGTATGTTTGACACACCAGGAGTCACACCCTTAAGGAAGGAAAACTGACTCTTTCAGCAAAGGAGTCCAGCAGCATCATAGCTCAGTAGGGGTGGGGGCTCAGGAATCCCTTCCCCTCCATCCTAGAAGACTATTGAGTGAAAACCATGATCTTGCTTTTAATATCCCTAAGATATCTTGCAGTTTCTTCTTTATAATATTTTAATTAAAATCTATTTGTATCACTTCCCCCTTTCCTTTCCTTTTCTACAATCCATACAATGCTGATGTGAGATGTTCCTCTATATATTTTTTACTTTTATTGGTTAAAGAATAAAGCTGTTTTGCTCAATGGCTTAGCAGAATAAAGTCAGGCGGGAAATCCGAACTTAGATACATAGAGTAGGGCAAGTCAAAGAGACACCATGTAGCTACTGAAGGGGAAAGACGCCTGAACCTTATCGGTAGGTCACAGCCTCGTGGTGTTACACAGATTAATAGAAATGGGTTAATTTAAGATATAACAGTTAGTTAAGAATATGCCTAAGCCACTGGTCAGTGTTGCAATTAATATGGTTTTGATGTGATTATTCAGTTCTGGGAGGCCGGAAAATAAAAGAACAGACTCTGCTTACACAACGCCACCCTTATTTCCTCTGAAATTTATGGCCTCTTTTTTTTTTTTTTGTCGTTGTTGGTATTTTGGGGGGGGGTTGTTTTTTTGAGAGGGGAGAGTTAATTGTATAGCAGAATCTTGATGTGGGAAATAGCAAGGTCCACAAAAAATTCAACAGGACTCCCAGAGATCTTTTTCTTGTAAATGTTCCCTCTCATGTTGACCAATGCTTTCTTCAATCCCAACTTTAAACCTACCCATTTTCCATCTCCACCACAATACCCTGGTATAAGTTGCTCCTTTTAAGTTGGACACTGTGAAAACTTTCTAATTGTTCTCTCCTCATGTAGTCTTGTCCTCTCCAATATCTCCTCTTAAGAGTTAATTTATTTTTGTACATACATATAAAAGAAAAGAAAAACCTCTTCCTGACTGTGGCCCCAGGTCCTGTACAATCTACTTTCAGCCTCCCTTTTACTCAACTCAGGCTCTCTTCCTTTTCGTTCACAGTAATTAATTATTACTGAAGACTAATGACTAAATAATTATTACTAAGGACTAAAATTTTTTTACAATCACAGATATAAAATTCCATCTGCAGCTCCTTAGGTCTTGGGGCCTACCTTGAAGAAGTGGCTCCTTAAGCACTCAATAAAGGTTTTTCCCTAACGGAGACTTCTGGGTAGTCAGTCACTCTAGGACTATGCTAGTTCTCCTATCTGGGCCACAGCTTCTTGTATCCTGAGAATCCCACACCAGTGCTCCTTTCAGAGCAACCTCTCTTAACACTTCTTCAAGGTAGGCCCCCAAGACCCAAAATTTTCCAGGCTGGTATAAGAAAACAGACTATTGTTTAAAACAGCTCCATCCAAATGATCTGTCTAGCTTGTTTTGCAATTTGTCTTACTAACTTTATGTTATCTAAAAAAGGGAGTAGAAAATGCGAGTCAGTCTAATGAAGTCATAAATACCTGGCTCCTAGAACAATATCTAGCATAAAAATCAGTATTCAGTTATATGAAGAATGAAATGCCAGAGGTGAGCTACTTTTAGGATAAGCTCCATATTGCCTGGGCACTAACATAGGTGCATGTGATAGATGAAACATTACATTGCATTGCTTCTATGATATTAAGGATATTCCTTACATCTGTATATGCAAAATGAAACTATTTACTAATATGCCCACTCAAAATTAAAGCCAAATGTGGAATGAGTTATTACAGTTCAGTCTTATTTACCTTACTAAATATTATCAAAAACTATCCCCAGAAACATAGTACCAGATAGTCAAAAGCATCGCCAGAACACAAGAATCCCCAAGGGTCCTATAATTCAAGAAACATTTGCCCTTCCAATTAATGGCAACCAGCACTAAAGACCACATTTGTAAAGAGGAAACAGTTGGCATGGCATGCAGTGAAAGTTGGAGGAAAGGTTCTCTGTTAACACGTCCCTTCAATCCAGCTACTCAATCAATACCCACTGCACCAAAACAATTTGCAGTATATGTGGGTCACAAAACCAGAAACACTAGGTGCACCAAGCATAAGCATATTCAGACTAAATCAGAGAAAAGAATATGAAGAAAAGTCTAGACTTGTAAGGTCTACACATTAACATGGGACTTATTATTTTACAAATAGCACTTTATTTATAACTTACGTTAGAGAAGCTGGTGATTTCCAGCCAGTAAGAGGCTCAACTGATTGCCATTTTTTCTCTAAGATGTAATTCTGTAAGTCTTCATAGATTCCTGGGCCACGGTAACGGCGGAATATCCCATCTTTTGCACTATAGATTATAAAATCAAGCAGAAATTTAAAAAAATCAAAATAGGTATTCTATAATAATAATCAAAATAATTATTGATCACACACATACTCTTCTTGAATTTTAAATTAGCTCAAATGAAAAAAAACAAAAAACCTATAGCCAGACATAAACCAGAAGGCCTGTGTTAATTCTAATCTAACACAAATGAGAAATTCTAAAACTCAAGCCATTGAATGTTCTCTTTCATTACTATGTAATCTGCAACTATAAGCTAAATCTCCAGAAATAATCAGTCAATTCATTTGCTAGCACGTTTACAACCAATTATTTTTATTTCTTCTAGCAAAATAGCCACTGTTTTAATATTAACAAATAATATATCCACATTTCCAAATTTATGTCCTCCAAGTCTCTAAGCTCACGATCAAGATCAAAGCATGCATCTCACATTCATCTCTAAGCCTTCCTTTTCTCAGCTTCTCGTCCCAGACAGGAGCCACAGGAAGAGTCTACGCATTCCCTCTTGTTCTCCTCATACTACTGAGTGAAACTGGGAGTCCTGTTCCCATGACTCCATGGAACCTGCCTGGCCTGTATCCTGAATGACCCCCAAGCATTATGACAATAGAAATTTGTTCTGCCATTTTCCCTTCACCTCTCATTAGCATGGTTTACCACCACCTACGTGATCTGTTCTCCTACAGTGCTGAATTCTAATCTTTTAAGATCATAAATTAATAATGCTTACTGAAAAAAGGCTGGGAGAGTGGTGACAAAGAAGCGGCCGCTCAAACCTAGGAAAAGCATAAACAGTTAAAGTTAAACTCAAAGTAACTCAAGTACCCAAGTGCTGAAAAAATCCTCAGACTGCTATTGTGATCACATGAACAAACACCTCTGGAATTATTGAGTTACAATTATTATCTTTTGACTTAAGGGAAAAAACTTTAGTCACGTATTTCCTAATACTTTCCAGTTAGTACACACATATGGTTATGTTCCAGGTGTCACCCTAGAATTTTCTGGTTTATGTATTACTTGGTGTGGTGGTTTGAAAGAAAATGGCCCCTAAAGGGAGTGACACTATTAGGAGGTGTGGCTTTGTTAGAGGGAGTGTCCAGGTGGGGGTGGGCTTTGAGGTCTCTTTTCTCAACTTCACTCAGTGTGATAGTCAGTCAACCTCGGAGTCTGATGTAGGACTCAGCTCCAGCACCCTATCGGCCTGCATGTCACCATGCTCCCCATCAGGATGACAGTGAACTGAACCTCTGAAGCTATAAGCAAGCCACCTCAATTAAATGTTTTCTTTAGAAGAGTTGCTGTGGTCATAGTGTCTTTTTGCAGCAATAAAACCCAAACTAAGATACTTGGTATTGTATGCAAGTTAAAAGAATATAGTATAGAACAGCAAGATCTAAGTTTATGCCTGGAGCGCCAGGACCCTGAGAATGGATGGCCCAGAGACCTAGGATAGAACCAAACACGATTAGAGAAAAAAATGCCAACATAACGATGCCTAATGATATTCTGTTATGCTCACAGATTGGTGTCTACCCCAATTGTCATCTGAGAGCTTTCATCCAGTAACTGATGGGAACAGATGCAGAGACCCATAGCCAAATATTTGGCTGAGATTGGAGAATCCTACTGAATAGAGGGAGGAAGGATTGTACAATCCAGAGGGGCTAAGAACATCACAGAGAAATCTACAGAAACAACTAAACTAGGCTCATATGGGCTTCCAGGGTCTGGACCAACAACCAAGGAGTTTGCATGAGACCAACCTAAGTGTGTGTGACATATGCATAACAGCTGTGTAGCATGGTCTACCTGTGGGACTATTAGCAGTGGGAGCAGGGACCATCTTTAAGGCTTTGGCTGGGTTTTAGGAGCCCACTCCTCATACTGGGTTGCTTTGCCCAGCCTTAATACAAGGGGAAGAGCTTAGTCCTAATGCAACTTGACATGCCATGCCTTGTTGATAGCCATGGGAGGCTGGGAATGAATTGGGGAGCATGGTGAGGGAGAAATGGGGAAAGGGAACAGGGGGAGAGGAAACTGTGGATGGGATGTAAAGTAAATAAATTAAATTAATTTTACAAAAAAAAAAAAGATCTGTCAGAAGTTTCTGTCCTGCCTGGTCCCACAGCTGTTCAGTCCCAAAGAAACGCACAGAGGTCTACATTAATTATAATTTATAAAATTATAAATTAGCTCAGGCTTCTTATTAACTAACTCTCACATCTGTGTTAGCCACATGACTTGGTACCTTTATCAATGAGGCATTCTCATCTTGCTTTCTCTGCATCTGGGTGACAACTGCAGACTGAGCCTTTCCTCTTCCTGGAATTCTCCTATTCTGGTCGCCCTGCCTATACTTCCTGCCTGGCTATTGGCCAATCAGCATTTTAATAAACCAACACAAGTGACAAATCTTTACAGGGTATAAGACCATTGTCCGACAGTAAAGATCTAACTTTAATACTACCTTTCCCTACTGGCTTATGGGTTTAGGTAATCTTTAAACTTTTTGAGTTTCAGCTGATTCATCTGTAAAAAAATGGGTATATTAATGTTTGTTTATAATTCTGGGATTAAATTAAGAACATAATACAGTTGCTACATATAGTGAAGGACTCAACATATTATAGGTATTAACTAATTACCTCAACTGTCAATTTAAAATGAACAACAGAAACTTCATTACAGGGTGTTGTCTGCTGGTAGGTCCATACTACAGTAGATGGTCTCACACTCTTGCACATATGGGCAGCATTACATAGACTTAGTAAGATACTAAGAAAGAAAGAGCCTGCCATGCCATGTGCTAGCAGGGGCAGGAGTCAATTAGGAACTGCCCAGCTATTCTAGACCCAGGCAGTGACACAGTAACAGCTCTGCACCATGCCATAAGGCTGGTAGGGGCATGCCTCAACCAAGTACTTCCCGGTACCTATGGTGCCAGGCAGTCAGACACCACTGTGGTGAGCAGGCACAGGGTGCAGAAGTGGACGAGAGAGAGGTGGAGTCAGTAAGGGTTGCAGAGAGAGGCAAGTTCTGAAGAGGTGAGAGTGGTGAGGAAGAGGCTAATGTGAATGGCCTGCTAGCCAACTCAGTCCAGGGTCATTTCCAGACCTGGGATACTGTCCAGAGGCAATCTTTTTTTTCTTTATTGTTTTTATTGCACTATACATTTTTCTCCACTCCCCTCTCTTCCTCTTCTTTCCCCTTCTACCCTGTCCTGTGATCCCCATGCTTCCAAATTACTTAGGAGATCTTATCTTTTTCTCCTTCCTATTTAGATCTATGTATGTATCTCTCTAGTGTTCTCTTTGTTGTCTATGTTCTCTGGGGTTATGGATTGTAGGCTAGTTTTTCTTTGCTTTATGTCTAAAAGCCATTATCTTGATCAGAGGCACTGAAGCAGCTGAGGGAGCATGAGGTGATGTCTGTGGCTCCTGTTGCCACTAAAGGCATGCAGAAGTCTGTAGTCTGGACCGCCACCTTGAGCCTGCTGCCTGGGGTCATGTCAACTTACCGGCCTACAACTGCCACCTAGGGAAATGATGACATCCTGGTTTGAGCTGCTGCTGAGGGCCATGTGTGGGTCCGTGGCCCTACAGCATTCAGGGTCTGAGTTAATGTCCATGGCTCCTGATGCCATTGAAGGGCAAGCCAATGCCAGGGATTTGGGCAGTCAGCTGGGGCCACACTGATGTCTTAGGGCTACCCTACTGAACTTAGTGGTCTGTCCTATTACCTGGGGACATGGTGACATCTGATCACAAGCTATAGCCTAGCATCATGTCTGTGTCCATGGCCTTGCAACAGCCAGGGTCTGTGTTGATATCCATGGCCCATGTTGCTACTAGAGCCCACAGGGATGTGTAAAGGTCTGGGCCACAACCTGTGGTCATGTGACAAATTCCTGGAGGCTATGCTCCCTCATGGACCATGCTGATCTGAGTGGCTTACACTGTCATCTGTGCCTATGGTGTTGTCTGGGCCATGGCTGCTGCTGTGGCTCTACGGCAGCCAGTGTCTGAGTTGATGTCCATGGCACCCATTATAGACAAGGATTATGAGAATGCCCAGGGTCTGGTCAGCCACCTGAGACCAGGTTGGTATCTAAGGGCCATGATGCTCCAGAGCGATTGTGACATCTGGGTCCTAGCTGCTGCCGAGAGCCATGTCTAGATCTGTGGTCCTGCTCCAGCTGGTGTCTGTGTTGATGTCCACAGCCTGAGTTACCACAGAAGGGGTGTGAGGGGAGGGTTGGAATTAAGTTTTTGTTCTAAGTCCAAGGGTCTTCTGAGCTGATCCGCCCCTCACTGGATACTGCAGCAGGAGTACTGCCCCCCCCCACACACACAGACACACAGACAATCAGGAAAGATGGTCCCACCCCTCACCATGGGCATGTACCTCACCTGGACAACAGAGTAGCACTGACCCTGTTGTAGGGGACGCAGGTGAGTCAGCCTTGAGGGTGTGAGGACAGCAGAGCTGACACCCTCCTTCATCTGCCATGTGTGGCATGGGTAAGGAAAAGATGCCCTCTCTGCCCCACCCCATGCTACCTGCGGCAGGCGAGAGAGCACTCTCTAGTTAGGAGAATGGAAGAACTAGCCTTGTCCATCACCAGCTGCAACACAGATGGCAGACCCTGTGCCCTGCCAGGACAGCACACTAGAGCTACCACTGTTGGAGGGGAATACAGGTGAACCAGTCCTGAGGGCATGAAAGCATGAGAGCAAGAAGAGCAAAAGAGGGAGGCAGGCTGCACCTTGTCTAGGCAAGTCAGTGGAGCTGGCCCTGGTGGGTGTGAGGGCCTGAGAGCAAGAGAACTGGCCCCGCTCCTTGCTGCAGGCTGCACTGGGTGGCCTGACCAGCCCAGCTACCACCCAGGCCAGAATCAGGGCTGTGAGCTGGCTCACTCCAATATCCAGTGAATCTATGAACTGTGGGACCAGGTGAAGGGGATGAACATACAGATCTAAAACTGCAGGATCCCCACGAGGCAGGATACCCAAGAAGAGTCCCAGTATGGGCCCATTAACAATGGTGTTGCAGACACAGAGGCCTAGAACCAGACCAATGGCTCATGGCAGTGAACACTTGCAGTGAAGAAGAAAGGACTAAAGAGTGAAGTGTGTGACTCACTAGGCCACACTACAGTTTCCACAGATTCTTCTTTTATTTTTTAGTTATTTGTTTTCTGTTTTTGTTTTGCTTTTTGTTGCTTTATTTTTGTTTCTGTTTGTTTGGTTTTCAGTCTTTCTAATTTAAAATTTTGTTTCATTTTGGGGGGTGGTTGGTTGCAGGGTCAGAGGGCAGATAGGGGGACGGAGATTGCCAGGTTTGGGATGCATGATATGAAATCCACAAAGAATCGATAAAAGTAAAAACAAAAAGGAAGAAATAAAAAGAGGAATAAAAAAAGAAAGATAGGTACATGTAGTTGAGAGTAGGGCATTTTGCGTGTCTGGAGGGAATACAAGGGAAGATGAAGGGTGGATATGACATATTATATGAAAGTCTCTAAGAATACATTTTTAAAAGTAAAAAGAACATTCAAGAATAAAAACCATTTAAAATACAAGCCAGGCCTAGTAAGGTATGCTGGTAATCCCAGCACTGGAAGTTTGAGGAATGCTCAGTCTATACACCAAGTTTAATGCCAGTCAAAGCTACAGGGAAGCCCTGTCTCATAAAATGTAAGATATACTAATAAGATAAAGGCTCCTTACTATTCCATTAAAGAATATTTTGAAAATATTTAAAATCCTAATTG